GAGACATGAAGGATCTCTATGGCAAGGCATTGAGTCGTAAAGCAGAGGCTCTGGAGCAGATGGAGAAGTGGAACGACGCCAGCGCCGTCTGGCAGCTCTGCGTCGAGGGCGGTGTCGGCGGAGCCAACGCGATCAAGGGTCGTCAGCGCTGCCAGAATGCCCTCGCGCCCAAGCCCAAGCCCACGCTCAAGCCGGCTGCTACACCACGACCTAAGCCCTCGGCGACGGCAAGCTTTGCGTCTCAGAAGAGCTCCGAAGCCGTGACCCGACTCCGGGAAGCGAACGAGGCTGCCGCGAAAGAAGACGACGAGAAGTTTGCTCTCTCGGAGAAGATCGATGCCAAGGTCGCGGCATGGCGGGACGGCAAGAGGGAGAACCTCCGGGCGCTGCTGGGTAGCCTCGATCAAGTCCTCTGGGAGAACAGCGGATGGAAGAAGATTGGCCTGCACGAGTTGGTCATGGCCAACAAGGTCAAGATCCACTACATGAAGGCTATCGCGAAGACGCACCCCGACAAGGTAAGCAGAATCATACCCCTACGGACCGCCGTTCTGACAGTTTCTAGCTTCCCCAGGACGCCAACACCGAGGTGAGATTGATTGCGGGCTTGGTGTTCAGCACGCTCAACGAGAGCTGGGACAAGTTCAAGACGGAGAATGGACTATGATAGATGAAGCATAACCGGAGTTTGTAGAGCGTGTTTGACTCGGCATAGAAGCGTGTCTCGGTCAAGGTGATGGATATGTCGAGGTGTGAATAAGGATTTCAGCGGCCGTGCCGCGCCGCCAGTAAACACCGTGCTATGCCCTACGTAAATAAACCCATTTGGACGCCGTGACTCCGACCCTCATCCTAAACAGAAGCCTAGATCCTGCGTCCTACAGCCCCAGCATCCTCCGGACGCCGTCGCGGACCCTGTTCTCGTACTCGGTGCGGCGCTCGCGCCACATCTTGGCGGCCTCGACGTTGGCGGGACTCTCGTCGTTGGGCTCGGCCAGCATGCTCATGACGGAGATGAGGATCTTCTCGACGGACTGGATGGGCGACCAACGCTCGGAGGCGTGCTCGTAGTGGTTGGGGTCGTCGCCGGGGGGGTGGAGGATGGAGATGCAGACGAGGCCGCTGGGGTAGACTAGACAAGAAGGGTCAGCAACTGGATGCGGGAGCAGAGAGCCTCCAGCCGAACCGTTGGGATGCCACACGTCGGCCAGGAACTTCATCGACGGCGGCGCGAGCGGGTAGTCCTTGGGGAACTTGAGCTCGGCGGGGAAGACGCCGCCCTCAAAGGGCGTGCCCTCGGGGCCCTGGATGAGGCATTCCCAGTGCAGCAGGTCGTCCTCGGAGATGGGGCCGGCGGTGATGCCCTCGGGCGGGTTGTTGGTGAGGGCGCGGTACTCTTGGAGGAGGCGGCGGTGGGCGGTGGACTGGGCCATGGTGGGGAGAAGATACCAAGGAGTTTGGAGTGAATCTGGGACCTTGGAGGTGTGAGGTTGAAGTCCTGGAATCTGGGACTTGGACTTGGAACGAGGTGTGTGAAGGTTGAGGATTGCGGCGCCGCCCGCCGTCTCGGAAGAGGTGGAGGCGGTCATGGCGGGGCGGTGGGTGGGGTCCGCCGGAAGAATGCCCCGCGGCGTGCGATTACGAGGGACAGGATAGACCAGTCTAGTCTAATCGGAGATGCAACCTATAAACTTGTTAATGGATGTTTAATAGTATGGAAAATCTAACGAATCATTGGGATGAATATGTGGCCTTTGACATTCTAGTTGTGGTTTCCCTGTCATGGTTCGCATGTTAAACCTCACTTGACTAAAGCCTAAATGGTAGTCTATTCATGCGAACAATCCAGTCTCTTTTCTTATCATCCTTTATTTTCATCTCTACAAATAGATACGATGGTGCAGTAAGACATGATCGATTCATTGAGGCTCAATCATAAAAAGACTAGAAAGTTCGAGCAAATTGAGTATTATACAAGTCTAACAAGTAGCTCCTCTCGACCAAGTGTGCTTCCAAAGTTCCAATGCCGTCCGTCCAGCGTGAGTATAGCAGTCTTTAGCAGCTTGCGGTCTTCAACAAACATACGAACTGCGCTGGGTCGATCATTCGAAGCGATTATTCACTGTCGATAGTTCGTCGCCGCTTTTTGTGATCGACCTTTCCTCGAAAGTCCTTTTCATACCATCCCATAGCCCGCTTCAACACCTCGTGAGCAATCTCAAACTGCTCAACCGTGGAATGCTCAGTAGCCGCTTCGTCGTTCCACCAATCATCCAAGGGCTCGATTGCTCGGATCTGGATCAAGTTGGAGTACGTGACGTGTCTCTCGAGGGTTTCGATGGTATCGTACGCCGGAATAACGGCGCATGGAGGGGCGATCGCCGCGCAAATCTCACACTGCACTGTCGAAGGGCCTTTTCGCTTTGCCACGATCTGGGCGCGTCGGGCGAACTGCTCGAACTTCGAATGGAATTCTCCCGAGAGGTGACGGCCGAGCTCGTTCGAATCGTATCGCTTCGACTTCGTTTCGTTGTCCACGGTCTCGTCTTCTTGACAAGACGGGCAAGGCGTTGTTTTGTCAAAACGGGATTTTCCCGTGCCGAAAAGCAACCAAACTTCCATTGCGCAGCGGACGGCAGTCGTGTAGTCTATCTTCCCAAGTTCCTCAATGGATTTGGTCGCCCCGTCAGGAACAGTTTGTGCCTCTTCTCCACGCTCGATGTTGCCTCTGGATTGATCATCTACATCCTGATCGTTGCTTTCGATAACGAAACCCTTACCGAACGCGCCGTCCAAGTCTACATCAGCGGTTTGGATCTCTTGCTCAACTGTGTCGAGGTTGGAAGGTTGACCATCATCGACGTACTGGTTGGCCTGGGCCAAGACACGTCGGTTGAATTCGCTGATCATCGGCGGAACGACGTCAAAGTTCTCTGAGATGTCCGTCGTGGGGTCCTTTCGAAAGCTAGGCAAGCAAATGCGTCCCGTGATGCCAACCTTCTCTGCACTCAGCCGAAGGTACTCCGAGAGGGCTTCTGCTTGCATAGGTTCGTCCAAGTCAACACCCGCGACCAAGACTGGCTTGTTGAGAAATTCTGGTTTGAACGTGATGAACTTTTTACTGCCGTTTAAAAGTTCATCGATTGTCTGGATTTTCCAGAGAACACCCCGTCGGAGGGCGATCGTCAGGATTCGATGAGGGATGGAAAGCTCGAGGTTCCGTCCTTCCATCAGACTTTGAAACCACCTTTGGTTACGTTAGTTGGTTGCCTTACAAGCTGGTTTGGCAGTAAATGGGGTAGAGAAGGGAACTTACAGAGAGAGTTTCTTGTTCTGATACTGACGTTCAGGGTCGATCGAATTGGTCTCGAGGTTTCGAATCGCAACTTTGACCGAGAACATGCCCGTGACGCTCGATCTCTCAATTTCCAGGTCTCGCCACATGAGATATGGGACTTCATATTCCGGATCGACGTTCTTTAGAGGGCCCAATGAGCTAGGTTTGAGGGCCGCCATTCGGCCAAACACCCAGGCCAGATGGTGGCATTCTGCGAATTCGATGCATCTGGTCTCCCTGATATCAAAGTCCATCATTTGTAGTAGCCCCCGAGGTCCGATCAGGGTCTCGGGTTTGACCCTCGCAACACGAATTTGGTCGTGGCGATACAGATATCTTACAATCTCGTCCAGGCTGGCTTTCACCTCACCCCGCGCTGGAGGGTGGATCTCGCGCTCTCTGTACTTTCGGTCGATCCAAAACAGGAAGCTGCGCTGAAATTGCTCCAGCATAGGACGGAGGATGGTGTCATCCTCATCCGGACCGGGAAGACAAGTCAACGTGGTGAAGACGTAAAACCGCCGGAGTTGACTGAACAGCTTCTCGAAGGCCCGGTAGCCTGTTGCTGGATCTGGGAAGCAGACGCGGTCCAAAGAAGCGTCATCCTTGGCCTCCTCGAAGGTAGCTTTGACCCACTTCTGGTAAAGGGCCAGATCATTGTCTTGTTCCATTCGAACTGGCAAGGGATGGTGACGGAAACCACGGGCAGTTTCGTCCATCAGCTTCGCCAGTTCATCAACCTCAACCAATTCTGGGTGTGGAGTTCCATCCTCAGTATTCCCAACTCGTTCGAGGAATTCCGCGAACCTTTCTTTTCTTCGACCGATCCGTGGAGGCATTTCTGGAGCAGGTTCTGAGCGAGGTGGGCGATGGTGAAGATATGAAGACTTGATGAACGAAGGGACTTGCACTGAAAGTAAATGCTTGGAGAACGGGAATAAAGAACGATGCAAGCCAGATAGGAAGACTGAAGGTTGAAGACAAGAAGAAGGCCAAAAGGCACAGGGCGATTCTTGAGTGAGGCGCGTGAATGGGGTGCATTGAGGAAAAACAAAAACAAAACACTCCTGTTTGGGACTCCTAGTTAACTCAGCTCGGCTGGCAGCTGCCAACACTGCTCCAGGTGGCAACATGTGCAAGGGCCGATTCTTAATTTTAGGCACGTTTGGTTCTTATCTAGTCATTACCGTTATCAGAAGTTCAAAAGAGGATAGTTGATTAATATTGACATGATGGTTAAATTGATGGGATGAGTCTAATCTAGCTACTGGACTTTTATAAGTATACCGGCCTGCTGTCATCACTAATGAACTGCTCTATAGGCAGTGGGACTGGCTGGCGGATGGGACCTCAGTGGCAGGCCAAGGTGCCACGCATGGCAAGACACTCTCGTTTGGTTGTCTCTATTTGGTCTATCCATAGAGCGCTTCAATAAACAGAGCAGAAGGCAGCAAAAATGTTGACAAGACAGCGACTCGAACCCTGGCATCATTCGATATAATGGTTTCTATTTGCAATAGAAAAGAATTCAATTTTCTTGAACATTACGCCTTAGACCGCTGGGCCACCTTGTCTTTTCTGAAGGCATTTGGATCAACCACAGTGAACGCGGTGTTTGTCATGCCGATATGCGAAGAGGTTGTATCGTGCAAAAAAAAGAACCTGACAAGAGTGGGACTCGAACCCACGCGGATTGCTCCAGCAGAAAAATTCTTACTTTAAGTAAGCAAGCTAGTTATAACTTGAACCTGCCGCCTTAACCACTCGGCCATCTTGCCATGAGATTAAAAGTTGTGATTGATACGGGAGGCTATATTAGAGGCGCATACTTCAAACACTCGACGCTCTGGTCATCCCCAACCTCCGTCGTCTCCACCAGGTCACCATCCATCTTACTCAGAAACGCATTCTACCGCGTTCTACAAAGCAAACTACTATCGCCGCACGTCTTAGTTGCGTAGGTACGTGGACATGCCGCTCTAACAAGCCCTACTCTTGCGATGCAGTTCCAGTTCGTCGGCAACGACGCCAAATCGCGGAAAACGGTCCGCAGCCTTGTCATGAAGGGTCGAAACGTCGGACGCACACATCCCCAGCGGTGCCAACGAGACAACGCACAAGCCAAAGCCAAAGACAACCAGAGGCGTGAAGTGAGACCCGATGATGGCGCCTTGACCTTGAGCCGATGCATCGGTGATGGCATTCCCGCTTTCGCCACGGGACACAATTGGACCCCCTATCAAAAGCTGCGACTTCACCAATGTTAGTCATGATTAGGCTTGTCTGCGATCAACGTGAAGCTGATGATGAGCTTTTTATAGATTTCCTCGTTATCGCAGAGGCTCTATACCCACGGGAACTCTGCCAGTCGATGGACGTTTACAAATCTCTCTGGTTCCAGAGTCTGTTCATCGACGAAGCATGTAAGTAGCGGACCTTACATACCGAAGGTTATTATAAACAACACCAGGGTCACACTGTCGCTTGTAGACTTCCACTTCGCTATCGCCATGACGAACACCTGTATCGACTTCTTCTTAAGGAGGACCGAGGAGTCACCCACTGCCTTGGCCCACCTCTCTCGCACATTTCAGCTCCTGAACAAGCGGTTGGGCAGCAAAGACGCTGTCACGGACATGACGATCGGGCTTACTGCCGTACTAAGCATCCGTGAGAGCGTGCGTGGCGATCTCAAGACCAACAAGGTTCATCTCGACGGACTGCAGCAGATGGTAGAGCTCCGAGGAGGGCTCAGATCTTTTGAAGGCGATGTGAGCGTTCTGCAGAAGATTTGCAGGTGAGTGGAAATTTTTGAGCTGCGTGGGTTTAGCTAACCCTTTTCAAGGGCCGACCTCGAGTACTCCCTCTTGAGCGGCGAATCACCCCGCTTCCATTACGTTGACATGCCCCGACACAAGATACCAACGACGAGCGAAGGCATCGGGGAACGATACCGCCATCTACTGTGCGTCTTCCCAGAGGGTTCCTCGAGAAATATGCATCAACTAGTAATCGACGTACTCAACGCCAACACGCTCTTCAATGGCGACCCAGACTCGCCCAAACCAAACGCGCTCGAGTTCCAAGCCATCATTCTGTCGTTGCTCTACGGCCTACTTCGCATCGACGAAGCAGAGTTCGAGAGCTTCACTCAAGTCCAGCGGATGTGGTTCTTTGGCCTTGTTGCCTTTGTCGGCAGCTTCATGTTCCAGTTCGGACGGCGCAGGTACCTGCGCTATCACCAGCTTGCCCGGCGGGTGCAAACATGCATCGAGCAGTTATATGGCGGGCTGACGTGTCCGAACGCTCTCGTTCTATGGCTACTGTTAGTTGGGAGCGTGTGTATGTGGGGAGAGGAGACAGATGACCACTGGTTGTTGCCCGCCGTAGCAAGGACAGCGCGCTTCATGGGGTTGTCGACGTGGAAGGGTGTGCTAGAGGAGTTGAAGCGAGCCCCATGGGTTCACTCGGTTCACGACGATATTGGGAAGCGAACATGGGAGAGCAGCCAACGTTACGGCTTAAAGCCTTAATCTTCCTTAAGTAGGATGCGGAAAGCTACGAATCTCATTGTCGACTCAGCCACCCACCTCTTCATCCTCCACCCATTCTTACGTGTCTTACACCTCGCTCGCTCACTTGCTCACTCAAGAAGACTTTTCTCCCCTCAATGCTCGCCTTGTTCGCTCGAAGAGCCCCGGCTCGATTACTTCAACTCGCTCAAGAAACTGCCCCCAGCTCTTCTTCTGGACGTTCTGGCCATTCGCGTTCTGGATCCAGTCTGCAATGCAGTACCTAGAGATATATAGTCAATAAAAGCAACTAAGGATGGCTGAAAAGCTAGGCAAGAGAAGCAACTGGAGAACGCACTCTTTGATTTGGCAGTCCGAGATGTATCGACCATGGCTTTCAGGACCTGCCTGCATGGCGTGCAAGATGGTTCGGCTCCCCATCTCGGGCGTCCTGCCGATAAGAGCGTTGAATATGCGGAACTGAATCCGAAAGCTTAGGGTGCTATATCTTGCTAGGCCGGTGTTGCATAGGCCGGGGCTTAGGAAGTTGATGACCACGCCTGTCTCGGAGTACGGGAAGATCTTGGCCAATTCACGGGCGACGAGGATCTTGTACAGGTTGGAAACCGAGTACCTGAAATGCTATCAGGTCAGTTCGATAGCCGTATAAGTAAGTGAGCTGCTTGATACGTTCATACCTTTTCGGTCTCGGGTTCATGGGGGATTCTCCCTCGCGATTGAGTGCAGCAAAAGCTCCGCCCTCAGCATCAACAAGCTCCATTGCATCCTGCTGCTCAAAGGCCACCCCACTCGTCAACAGAACCATATGAGGCGTAACCCCGAATTTCTTCCCCGTGTCTCCCATCTTCGGTAATAAGTGCATCGCCAACATAACGGTTCCGAAGACGTTCCCGGCAATCGTATTCTCGTACCCTTCCTTATTCGTTTCGAAGAGATCAACCGCGACTGCCGCATTCTGAACGACCCCATCGAGACGGTCGAGTTCATCGTTGACTCGCTTTGCGAAAGCGCGCACCGAGTCCCAGGCAGTGGTGTCGAGGTACCAGACGTCAATGACGACGCTGTCACGAACTCCCACGACAGACTCGATCCATTCCTTGGCTTCCTGGCCTTTGGGGAGGGAGCGGACGGCAAGAATGAGACGCGAGGGGCCGATACGAGCGACGTGGAGGGCTGCCTCGCGGCCGATGCCGTGGTTGGAGCCGGTGATGATGAAGGTCTTGCCGGCGACGTGGGACTCGGTCAGGAGGATAGGGAGGTTTTGGCGTTGGGCCTGGATGAACTCTTTGGTATCCATGGTGAATAAAGGTTCGGAGGAGGGAAAGCTGAAGTTGAGATATTACAACAAGGTCAGGAAATATCTGTAAGAGGCGGACCGGTCACACTTATATATCCAGCATGATGAATATTTCGGGAGTTTCCATTCCGCAAGTCTCGGAGTTTGCGCTCTTTCTTTCCCGCCCGCCCATGACCTAACTCCGCCTGGGCATCATTTTACTCATTCAAACCTCGTCATGTCTCATGGTTTGTGAGGTTCAACCTCCTTGCATCTCGTCATGCCCTGCCTGCTGACGAGGTGAGAGACCAATGAGAGAGCGATTTCCTCTTTAGGCAAAGATCAACAGCAAACCCTTGGCAATCCCGGGGGTGCTAGTTCTCCATCACCGAAGTCACCGAGATACAACAAAGGTAGCTTACAGCAGTATCGTGTTGTCACCAATTGAGATAAACTAGGACCATGAAGGATGATGCTATAACCTAAGGACGCAAGCATAACCTAAGGGAATATGTATAACCTAAGAAAACAAAGGCTAATGCAATTATAGAGCGTGATAGTCTTTATGCTATGTGTTGTCTGATGATGTATTTATAAGGGAAAACACTTTAGGGTCTTCAGAACCTAGCGGCTAGATCGCTCGCGAGGAGACTTCTCCTCTGTAGACTGACTGACGTCCGTCTGAAAGCTTTTAGTGACGGTTTTAACCACCTTCTTGCCCATGCACCTCTCGGCCTTGTACTTCTTGCTCATCGTGACGTACAGGTCGACTGCATGATCCTTGTTGAGGGTCATAAAAAGATTGAGGAGAGCCTCTGTTGTACGGTCAGTCAATGTTTGGACAAAAGTTGGATGTTTAACATACCCGCTCTCCCTGCCTCGGCGAAATCTGGGATCTCGCGGTTGGCGAATGCCTCGAAGGTATCGCTGCTCGCTTGAATGTTTTTCGAGCGAGTGACGAGCGGGGTCTTCCCAGAACTGAGAAGAAACGCTTCGAATATCTGATAAATGAAGTCGGTCTCTTCAAGAATCTTGGTCAGAGCCTGTTCAGATCCTTCGGGCTCCTCTCCTTCCATGGTGCTTGCACCCTCCTTGCCCAGGAAAGATCGGCGGCTCGACGCGTTGGGGAATCGTCCCTGTTGATTGAGGAACGGCGGGTCAACGTCAGGTATCTGGTGGAATTGCTAGTCCTAGGTTATAATGGGGATGGTGCGAGGCAAAGAACTAAATCAGGCGGAAGACTCACTTAAATTAAGCTAAAATATCGATTTGAGAGCTGGAGCCCTGGATCTTTCCCACTGATCCGATCCTATGCTTGGCGTTAGTTTCGGTGCAGTTATTTAGTTAGGTTAAGGTCTGAGTACTTACCGTCTTCATTTTGCCCACCATAACCTAATCTCCAAGGCCGAAGGCCCGAGTGCTGAGGGCTGAGGGATTGGGGAGTGAGGGATTGAGGAGTGGGGGGTTGGGGAGTGAGGACTCGAGTGAGGGCGTGATGAGATGGGAGCGGAGGAGGAAATAAGAGCAGAAGAGAGGAGATAAGGGCAATGACCTACCGGTGACCCCAACAGGCGATGCCTACGATAGCTGGGATGTTCCGTACAGGCAGCTAATACATTCGTAATGTCGCAACTGATGTGGTAGAAGGAAAGCCAGCTGCCCGGCGAGGTGTCGGGGACTTCTGGCAGAGAATTAGTAACGAATTTCCTTCTGGTAGCAACCTGAGTGGGAACGTCGGTCACAGTGATCTCACCATGTCATGCCGACTGAGGTATGGCCATGTTGAAGCACGCTGGTGGTGTGCGTGGTGGTGATGCTCAGTCGCAGTTGTGGTAGATGAAAGAACTGAACTCCTCTGCAGTCAGAGAAACGAGGGTATTTATATAGATGACTGGCACGAAGAGTCAGTGAATCAGCAACACGTACGGGGAGTGACGCAGTCACCGACGGAGGAAGGGATTTTGCAAAC